GCTCTGAAACCCAGAGGTCACCATCTCTTCTAAGGCCTGGTCCCATCAGTTATCACCTTCCTTTCCTCTCCTTTCTTCTCTCCTCTCTCTTAATTCTCTGCTCCTTACTCACTCAGAAACCCACTGCTGTGGAGTCGATTTCAACTCATAATGACCCTATACAACAAAGTAGAACTGCCTCATAGGGTTTCCAAGGCTGTAAATCTTTAAGGAAGCAGACTTCCACTTCTTTCTACTGTGGAGCACCTGGTGGGCTCAAACTGCTGACCTTTTGGTTTGCAACCAAGCATTTTAACCACTGCCCCACCAGGGGTCCCACTCCTCCCTGCATCATCCTTGTTAATCTCTTCCTCTCCACCTACTTCTTTTCTTAAACACATAAACATGTTCAAATTTTTACAGTCTCCTCTCCCCTTCTTAGAAGAGTAGGCTTTATAATCCAAGAACACCTCAATGTTCTCACCTCTCACCTAGTTCTCAACCCCCAACAGTCTGACGTCTACTCTTCCACTGAGTCTGTTTTTGGTGAGTTAACAAAAATCTCCTATTTGGCAGCCCAGAAGTCACCCTGCAGCCCTTCTTCCTCAGTCTCTCTCGGCATGAGACACTGTTGACTGCATCTTGAAACGGGCTCCATCTTGGCTTGGTCACCCTCCTTTCTGCTTGGTTTGTCACCTCTCAGATCACTCTGCTGAGTCTCTTTCCTGGACTTTTCTTCCTCCCCCTCCCCCACCCCCACTACTTACAGGCAGGAGTAGTTTCAGGGTTTTGTCCTGGAATCTCCACTCTTCTCACATCACACTGTCTCCCTGGCTTCTTTTTGTTCCCATCGCTTCTCATTAAATCACTTCCAAAATTATACCAATTAAGCATCTTTGTTTCCCAAATTCCCCTTCTTTATAACCACATCCCAATGGGTTATCTTTGCACAGATTCCTCTTACACACCTCAAACTCAAAATTGCAGAATAGAATTCATAATTTTGCCCTATGTGTGGTAAATTGATTCCAAGTATAGCCCTGGATCTTCACCTTCCTTACATCCACCTGCTCATTGCCACATCACTTTGTAGTGCCCTCCCACTCTTACTCTTGCATAGGTCATGTGGCTTTATTTGGCCAGTGAGAAATCAGCAAGTATGACAAAAGCAAAGTTTGAAAACTGCTTCACCGTTGAGCCCTCTACTATTTCCATAGGAGGGACGTGCTCAGGCTAGCCTGCAGGACGATGAGACTCTGGGAACATTGCCTTGTCACCCCAGCCTTTCAGCTGAAGCTATCTGAGATCAGCCAGTTGTCTCCCATTCAAGGTCCACATGGTGACCTCTTTAGCTGACCAAAAATGTATGGATGAGTCCAATAGAGATTAGCCTAGCCCAGCCTAGATCAGTTGAACTCTAGAAATGCTCAGATTAAATAAATGTTTATTGCTTTACACTACTGAGATTTTGCGACTGATTGTTACATAGCATTATTATGGTGATAGGTACTTGATACATAATTATCAATATTCCTACAACTAGACAGCCAAGGCAAAACCCTGGGAATCTCTGTGGTCCCCTCTTCCCCT